GAGTTCTCCATTAAGTTTCCTCTGCGGACTATTAGTATATGATTAAAATGTGAAATGGGCATCAAGCTAATTAAGGGCCCCATATGATGGAAATAAGTGAAGTGCACCTGGTTGTCCTTATTGCCACACGTACATTTTCTCAATCCCTGCGCGTAGGCCCTAACGACTAACCACCCTCGATCGACATTAGTAAAATTATGAACGCAATATCGACCAAAATTCTGCAAGTCACGGACGGATTCTTGAGCGTGGGCCCTACGATTAACGATCGTTGACCGATAATCGAAAGATGAAGAACGCAATATCGATCGAACTTTCACAAGTGACGGAAGGATTTCTTGTGTGTGGGCCCTAACGACTAACGACCGTCGACCGACAATAGAAAGAAGAAGAATGCAATTCACAAATTTTTTTCTTAATAAAATAGGAGGCCATTGACCCATCTAATTTCAGGAAAAATTAAACTGTTTCATTTGTTTACAATAAAATATAATTTATTAAAATTATTTATACTCAAATAATATTAAAAAAATTTAAACCCACATTTTAAAAATGATTTGAATGACTCCTTTAATTCTGGGCAAAATTAAGTATCTATTTGTATATTTGGCTTAGAATCGTTTTCCAATCACAATTCTTCCCATAAGTTTTGTTCTTCACCTTACAAACTCAGTTCTATGTGTTGGAGATTGGAACAACAAGAGATCAGTTTCAATGAGAAAATTAATAAGTGGACATTTTGTTTGTGCAGGTATTCTAGCAATGCATTTTGCATGGAACAAACCAAAGAATCTGTCAACGGGCACCTTGAAAACAAATATGGTGATGCTTTATTTTTTTAGAAAAAAAGAATGATGGACATAGATATTAATACATAACTTTTTAACCTATGTTTTTAAAATAAAATTAATATATTAATTAAAGTATCACAATTTAATTAAAGTGATATTTTTCGTGAATTTGGTACTTATTTTAATAATGAGCTTCTTACTTTTTATTAAGACTAAAATGTTCTTGTTTACTTTCACTATCGAGACTATTTGTCCTTTCCCTTTCGTCTCTATTTGCCTTCTCTCTCATATTTGTGAAAATTGGACAATGCACCTAGCTCCTCACATGTAAATTTAGTATAAACATCTGTTCGACCTCCCAAAAATTTGTGAAAATTGGACAATGTGCCCTCTCACGTATAGATTTAGTATAAAACTCTAATGTTATATGAAAATTTTAACTTAAAATTAATTGTCAATAATTGAATTAATCTGTTTATATTTAATTCACGTATTTCTTTATTATATGTTTAACATGAAATTCTCTCAATCAACAATATTTCCCTCTCTAAGATCAGCTTTTTTACATAATCTTATTTTTTCCTCTCTCCTACTCCACCACTGTTTTGCAATTGAAATCAATCTCTTATAAATACAGATCAAAATCAAATTTTACATTGCAATTCAAAGTACAAACATCGAAAAACATGGCGTGTGAACAGGGAAGCCCATCAAGATGCAAAGTCACTTTTTCAAAATCAATCCTACTTTGGGCCATGCGACTGCAAAGTGCAAACCTACTTTGGGCCCTTTGTAGCAAAATGAAATTAATGCATGTATTCTTCTAATAATGCATGAATTCCTGGCGGTAGTTTTTTTTTTTTTTTTTTTTTTTACTATCTTAAAAATATATAAATATCAATTAAAATTCATAAAATTATATAAAAAATTAATTGAAATTAATTAAGGATTAAAAATTTACATTCTTAGATTAATTATGTGCACTATGAATAGAGTCTGAAACGAAGCCCAAATAATACTCCGTGTACACTCTACTTACCCATTTGTCTTTTTTTTTTCTAAGCCGACTACTACGCATTCGTTTGATATAATGATTTAGAATATATTAGTCCGTCCTTCAATTTCAATTGCCTTATCTTTTCTGATGATTTAAATAGTTTAATAATAATTTTTTTTTAAAAAAATAAAAAATCTTATATTTGAATTATATGATACGTGAATATGGAAGTTTAAAGAATAAGAGAGAACTACTTTTTATTCTACAACCCAAAATTAAAAAAAAAAATGTCTTACTTTCTAATTTCTAATTTAAGGTGTTCAATTTTGTAATTAATTGTTGAGTACTTTTTTATTTTAAGATTATACCGGATGTATTTATTATTATTTTAAATTTAGTTTTAAAAAATAAGGTTTAAGTACCATTTTAGTCCCTCAACTTATCACTTTGGTACTAAAATTATCCCTCAGCTTTAAAAAGTACTAAAATTATCCTTCAACTTTCATTTTTGGTACCAAAATGATCCTTCCGTCAGTTAAACGCCAGGTGGCTCATTAAAATGCCACAAAATCACCGACTTTTTTCATTTTTAATGACGTGTAAATCCAGTAAGAACATTTTTTACACCGTGGCATTTTTACACGTCAGATTGCTTCTCTACTCTTCATTTTTAATGACGTGTAAATCCAGTAAGAACATTTTTTACACCGTAGCATTTTTACACGTCAGATTGCTTCTCTACTCTTCAGATTCACTTTTGTGGGGCTCACATGAAAAAAAAAACAAATTGTTTTCTTTTTTCCACGTCAAATAAAAATGAATTTATAAATTAAATGAATTTTAAAATAATTAAGTTAATTAACTTTCATTTCATCATTTTCTTCTTTCTCCTCATCCTCAGCCTAATCCTCGGCATCATCATCTCACCGTCTATCTTCTTCACCATTCTCTTCACCATCATTCTCATCATCTTCACCATCCTCTTCCTCTTCATCATCTTGATTCCTCATGGAACCCGATGCTGGGTTTTCCTCTTGTTCATCTTGGTTCTTTGCGGAACCCAGATTTGGGTTCCGCGAGGAACCCAACCCGGTGTTGGGTGGCGAAACCTAACCCGATGCTAGGTTTTTTGAGGAACCCAGTTCTGGGTTTCGTGAAGAACCCAGTTTTGGGTTCCTGGATTTCGTGAGGAACCCAGTTCTGGGTTTCGTGAAGAACCCAGTTTTGGGTTCCTGGATTTCGTGAGGAACCCAGTTCTGGGTTTCGTGAAGAACCCAGTTCTGGGTTCTGGGTTCCTCGAAGACAGGGTATTTTTGGTGATGCCTTCACTTTCTCTTTGGTTATAAGGGCTTGTGCGTTTCTGGGTAGTTCTTATGTGGGAAAGAATATTCATAATCATGTGTTACAAACTGGAAATCAGAACTGTGTTCATGTTGTTAATGAATTGCTGGGGATGTACACATAGCTGGGCAAAATGGATGTTGCACGCCATCTGTTTGATAAAATGTGTGAAAGAAACAAAATTTCTTTGAATATGATGATTTTGGGTTTTGCATTGAATTATGATTGTGATGGTGCTTTTGAGATGCTTAAGCGGATGGAGTTGGAAGGTTTGGAGCCAGATGATGTGACATGGACATCGCTGTTGTCAAGTCATGCTCGATGTGGGCGGAATCAAGAAGCTTTGAAGTTGTTTGATTCAATGAGGATGGGAGGAATAAGGGTTAGTGCTGAAGCGCTTGCTGTGATGTTGTCTGTTTGTGCTGATTTGGTGGCCTTTAACAAGGGAAAGGCGATTCATGTTTAGGTGGTAAAGTGTGGTTTGGAAAGCTACTTGTTTGTGAAAACCCAGTTTCTTCACAAACCCAGTTTCTTCACCTCGAACGCGGGGGAGTAGCAGTGGCACGAGCGCGTCCAAGATGGATGAGGTGGGCGAGGTTGCTAAAATGCCAGATCTGGGTTTGAGAAAAACCCAGATCTAGGTTTGAGAGAAGAAGAATAAGGGAGAAGAGAGAGAAAGAAAGAATAAGAAGAAGAAAGAAGAAGGATGAGGAGGGAGGAGGGAGAAGGGAAGAGGGAAAGGAGGAAGAAGATGAAGTTTGAGACCCAGATCTGGTTTGCAGAGGTAAGGGAAAAGGAAAGGTAAAGGAGAGAGAAAGTGAAAGAGGAAGAAGAAATGACGTGGATGAAAAAAAATTATTATTTTAAAATTCAATAAAAATGCCAACTAATGCCAACTCATAGGCCAACTATGGTGTTTTTTTTCCATGTCATTAGTCAAGCCAAAAAAGAATTGATTTTGTGGCATTTTAACGTGCCACCTGGCATTTAACTGACGGAAGGACCATTTTGGTATAAAAATGAAAGTTTAAGGATAATTTTAGTACTTTTAAAAGGTGAGGGACAATTTTAGTGCTAAAGTGAAAAGTTGAGGGACCAAAATGGTACTTTAACCAAAAAATAATTATAACACATATTACAATAAGCAAATTTATTTACATAATAATTAGTTATGAATAAAAAAAATTATAAAGAGTAATTATTAGATCGCTATTTTATTAGACTAGAGAAATAATACATTCCAAATTAACTGTAGCATTACTCACATAAGATATTATGCCCCCGCCCAACTCCAGGTGGAAAATCCTAGTTTTGAAAAATAGAACTCTCTCAAGGCTTGTTGGGATTTCATAGTTCTGAAGTAAGGGAAGGGACAACCTGCGGTGAGGCCTCTGTCTCCACATTGGGGCAGTGCCCAAAACGTCCAATGAAGTTGGTGCTGTATCCAGCTACCCTCTCTTTTTTCAGCAATTCAATAATCTCATTTTTTAATCTTCCCTTTTCGACTTCCAGTGTCTTCAGATTGGACTTTAACTGTCGTTTTCTTTCCTGAATGGACGACAATAATATACAAAACGGTAAGAACAAAAGGAAAAGTAAGTCAACATTTGGCATCATTTTTTTTCAAAAAAAGATTTGGTATCATTTGCAGAATTTTTTGAATAAAAAGAAATTCATGTTTTTTAGGTCAGATTGAACTTTTAAAATATAATTTGCGTATTGAAATAATTAAAATTTTATTTATACAATAAGATAAAGAAAATACTTATTAAAAAATTTTAATAAATTTATAAATTAAAATACACTTTTAATGTGCAATTTTGATTAAAAAATACTTTTTCAAAATAAGTTAAAGGCAATCTTACATGTTGCTTCTTGTACTTGTGCTCCAATTTGCCAAGTTGCTTTGACTGGGTTTCAAACTTTTCATTGGCCAAAACATTGTCTCTTTTCAGCGATTTGTTTTCACGCTTTAATTCTCCATTTTCAGTCTCAAGCCTCTCTAAATCAAACTTCATTTTATGTTGATTTTCCTGAACATACAAAGCATAAGAGAATTCAAGACTCTCTGAAGAACAAAAAGGGAAAAAAAAAAAAGGGAAATTAAGCTTCCATACTAAAGGGGGCAAACTGACAAGTTGCTTGATGAAGTTTTGGTTCAACCCATCCAATTCTTTTGATTGAGTTTCAAACCTCTGATTCACCAAAGTATTTTGCTTTATTAAGGTGTCATTTTCAGCCTTTAGTGTCTCAAGATTGGACTCCATTCGCTGTTGTTTTTCCTGATATACCATAATTAAGTACATCATAACTTAAAAAAATTAAATAAATAAATAAACGGAAGAAAAGAAAGAAAAGAAAAAATAAATAAAGATACCTCCATTAATTCATTAATTCAATTTTAGTAGGCTAGTTTTTTTTAATCTAACAAAATAAAAATATAATTATTTTTTTGTAAAAAAATAACAATTAATTAATTAAAATTTATATTTATTTCATATTAATTAGGACTTAAATAAACTTTTTTATTTAAAATATA